ATTCTTTAGTTTATACCACACATCTATTTATATTTAGCTACATATTTATATTCTGGAATTTAAAATGTTCTTAGTTATTTAGACAAATATTTTTATTTTTTTCTGAACTTTTATAGAAAGAATATCTCTGAGATTTGCCAAATCTGCAAACGTAAACCATATATGAAGAACTGTTTTCGTCAGAAAAATGTTTTTTGAATTACTGAGAGGGAACTTTAATCGGATTTTCATAACACAAATGAGTATTCATGTTTCAGGATTGAGTTCTCTTTGTGCTCTCATTTCGAGATAAAGAACAGTCGGAGAACTGCTCGGCATGTGTGATTCCCGCAGGTGGAGTTTTCAGCGGATCATAGTGGTGGTGGATGAGTTGCTCATCCGCATGTGTATTAATGAATTTGTCGACCTACTAAGAGCTCTTTATGCTATTATTTATCTTCAGAGAATTTTTTCAACCTGACTTCTTTGTGAGGCAGACAGACCAAATAATCTCTATTTTATCATGTAGGTGCGGCAGAAGAGCCAGAAGGTACAAGAGATATGAGTGCGTTCCGGTTTCCCGCCTGCAGCGGTGCCTCCCATAATCCACCTGGCCTGACTTCCGGTGGGCCTGGCCATCTTCTTTTGAAACTTATGTCACAAGTCCTACCGCGCGTTTGCGCGCACCTTTGCCGCGTCACGTATGGCGGCGCTGGACTTGTAAAGTCCTTTAAACCTTAGGTGATTCTCGGATAGACTTGAAGCACTTGAAAGAAGCCACGGGCACCATGAGCTGGTACTTTATCACAAAGCGGCCTTTCAGAAGAAGTCAGGTATTTCTTAGTTGTAATTTCCCTGAATTTAATAAAAATATTATTAGTTGTTTTGGAAATTGCAGGAGTCGGATAAGCATTTGCTCTATAACCTACTTTTTTCCTTCTCTAATTTGACTGACCTAATTTAAACTAGAAACATTTAATTTATCTTTTGTCCTAATTTGCAAAGGTAAAGAAAGGGAAAACAAGAAATGCTAGTCTGGATCTTTGTGAGCTTTTTATTTCCTTCTCTGATTTTCAAGCTCATTTAAGCTAGAGATGTGGTTTATCTTTTACCGGTAGTTAAATGATTTTAGAAAATTGGTCCGAAGTAAACATGAGTCATCTTTAGAGAACTCTGAGTCAACAGCCGAGGACAGGGTTGTCCGGGAGGTCACAGGGCCCCGAGACCGGATGTGTGTTTGGTTCTCTGCAGTTGTCTCCTGTGCACGATCGGGTGACCGCCGCCACAGTCGGGATGCAGCAGTCTTATCACAGGGACCCTGTGCTGCCCTTTCCCAGCCATCATTACCCTCCTACCTCCCACCTTAGTCCCTGACAGCCGCTCTGTTCCCCAGCTTTGTTGTTTAGTCATTTCCGGAATACTTTTCGGGCGGAAGCCTCTTGGGACTGGTCTTTCTCACTTGGCACAGTTCCCTGCAGCTCCGTCCAAGGGGCCGCAGTATCCATAGTCTGTCCCCTTTTACTGGTAGGGACCTGGCGTGAATGTACATTTAGTCCGAGCAGCTAAGGTATCTATTCACAGGCGTCGTCTGAAACTGAAAACTGCCCCGCAGGAACACACCTGACTGCGGAGCGGGAACTCACCCAGCTGCGCTAGCGTAGCTGTCATTAGCAATGTAGCTGCACTCCCTGCTGTCCCGCCTCTGTCTGATGCGTCAGTATCCAGAGGTTCAGCAGCTGGATCCCTGGGTCCCCATCACGGGGGCCACTGAGACAGGAGCTCCCTTCGACAGCAGCAGCACTAGCCAGGTGTCCGGAACTTAAGAGTGAGGGCACTTCTTTAATTTTCTATACACCCGTCACCAGATCCCTGACATGGAGACCTACTGTGTCAGGATGCTCAGATTGGTGTTAGTTATTGAAGCTGTATACTAGCATCACCTGTGGATTTGGTAAGTTTAGATGTGCCTTTAAATAGAAGCATTTATGTTGGAAGAAAGGAAAAGCAGGACTCGTCCAAATATGCAAATAGAGCTGGCTACATTTGGTTGGTTGTCAATTTTGCTATGATTAACTGTGTATTTCTGACTCATTTGGAAGACTGGATGGTCTCATTGTGTGTTGATGGTTAAAATGTTTTCTGAAGTGGCTGAGATAGTGCTGCTTCACAGTGTCACCTTTCTCCCTAACCGCTCTTTAGTGCATTTGAAAGGAAGTTGTCGTAGAAGTTCGTATTAGAGCTTTTAGAGAGCCCCCTGTCTGCCTGCCCATTACTCTTTCTCTGTGACCATGCAGGTGCTTAGTTTACAGTGGGGCCTCATCCCCATCAACCCAATGTAAATTGAGAATGTGTTAAATCCATACCTTAAAACAATAACTCTGTTGACTATCTGAAATTATATTGTCTGAATTATGTTGACTATCTGAAACTATTGCCATTGCCATTTCATTTGTGTGGAAAAACTAAGGTAAAGGTTTTTCTAAGGTAAAATCAGGATACATGGTCCTTCAGTTTGAGCATGTAAAAAAGTGTTTTTGTTGTTTTTTGTTTTGGTACCAGTGATTGAACTCAGGACCTTGTGCTTGTGAGGCAGGTGGCAGCACCACTGAGCTACATCCTGGCCCCAAAAAGTGTTACATTTTGAAAAGGGAACGTGTGGTAGATATTTATGTAGTATGTCATCACATACATAAAATACTTTCTGTCACATTTTTGTTTTGTTTTTGGTACCATGGATTGAACTCAGCTCTTTGCTCTTGCAGTCTCTGTCACAGGTTGAGTCTGACCAGAAACCCCCTGCAGAACTGGGGATTAAACCCAAGGCCTCACACATTCTAGGCAAGTGTTCTACCCAAGCTGAACTTGCCCTAAATTTATTATCAAATTATCTTACACAATTCTTCACAAATAGAAAACTAAATAGAGCTGTAAGCAGTCTTCCGCAAACCCGTAATTGAAGTTTGACATCAAACATGGTTTTGCCAGTCTGGTTCCCTTTCCCCCACTATTTCAAAGTATACCTTTCTAGCTCATGACAGATATATCAGAAACGAGCATGTCTTAGAGAATGAATCATTCCTTACTGTTATCTGACACCCAGCGCATAGTCATTTCCAGATTGTGTCAGTGCTGTGACTTCACACCCTTGGTTGATTCAGTCCCAAATGTCACATTTGCTTGGGTTTCTGTGCCAATGGATTGGTTTCCTCTACTGTTAGACCACTCACTGCCATGTCCCTGCCTTGCCCTGTGAGAGTCCTGTAGACTGTGTCCCTGGCACCCAACTGAGCTCAGCCAACCCCTCCCCTGGACTCTCCAGGACACCGCCAAGCCATGGCACCTACTCGTCTCTCACAGAGTGACAAGTTGGGTGCACAGAAGTCTTCTCTGGGCTGGGGCTGCCCAGAAGCTGGTGTGTGAGAGCATGCAGATTGGGGGCCCCAGGCTGCAGTGGTGGGTACACCCAGAGGAGGCGCTCTGGGCTTGAAGCCTGGCACTAGTGGTTCTTAGTGACTTCTGCACCAGTTCCAAGCGGCCCTCTGCAGGGCAAGGGAGTGGGGCCCTGTGGGTTGGAGAAGGAAGTGAGCCTGTAAGCCAGAGAGGTTTGGCTCTTTCATTCAGGTCACACAGCAGGTACGGGTCAGAAACAGGGCTTCACAATGATGTTCAAATCGTTGCACGTGTGGCACTTGGAGGTCTCTGTGTGTCACCTCAGGAGAGCCCATCGCGTGTTTGGGAAGCAGCTGAGATCCACTGCTAGGCTGAGCCATGGGAACTCACATGTATCTGTGGATGTGGATGTAAAATGTAACAATCTGGTGGCTCAATAGTGTGCTTTAAATTCCCATGACTTCCAACAGTGGACAGAGGGTGGGTGTTAGTTAGTGCCCTGGACTGGGCAGTACATCCAAGGACAGAGATCCAGGGGAGAGTCCAGGCAGCAGGAGACCCTGGCAGGCCCAGTGGGCTCCTGGCTGCTGCAGCCTTTCATCAGGGCCTCAGCCAGGACGGAGTAGCCTGGCCATGTGACAAAGCCCATCGCACATCACCAGCCCCCAGTGTTCCTGAGAGACCACAGGGAGGCTGTCGGGGGAAAGCGGGTGCATGTAGCCCTAGGCTGAGCCTAGCCAGGGACGAGCAAGGAGGGGCTTGGGAATTAACAGGTGCTGTCCTTCATCTTCCATAGCCCAGGGGTCCAGGACATGACCTTCCAGAGCCACCTGCAGCACCATGGCCACATGTACAATGAGGAGAAGGAACATGGGGTGAGGGCTTTGGGCCTGGTGGCCCTGGTGAGTTTGAGGAGACAGGCTGACTGGACCCAGAGCCCCTCCTGGGGAGAAGGCACTGCTCCTTTGAGGAGATGGGCAAGGCTTCTAGGGTAGCCATGGAGGAACAAGGTACAAGGCCAGTGCCCTGTCTGGCCCTGGGGAGGAAGGGGCTACACATAGTCCAGTGCTGCTGGTCTCATACAATCTCCTCTGAGATGTTGAGACCAGATGGTGAGGTGACTAAGTGCAGTGGAAAAAAAAAAAAAAGAAAAGAAAAAGGAAAGAAAATGGAACAGATAGTGCACATGATCTTCTTCCCCCTTGTGTGGCTGGAGATGCAGCAGCTCCACGCCAGGTGGAGAGCAGGCAGGAGGGGCAGCAGGGTGGGTGTGACCAGGCCTGCAGGGGGCACTAAAGTGTGGACAGTGATGGCAGTGTGTGTATTGGGGGTGGATTCACTCAGGGACACGCAGAGGACCCTAGGTGAATCCTGGGGACTAGAGCTGGCATCTGGGCCACACAGCTCCCTCATGATTCCCAGGCAGGATGGTAGATTTTGGGGGTCAGAGGGGCCCAGGGCCTGTGGGATGAGGACTCAGCCATGGTTAGCCCTCCTAGCACAGGCTGCACAGCATAGGACCTCACACCTATGGGTGCAGGGACACTGGGATACGATGTGACCTGGTCCACTCATACCCTCAGGGCAGAAAGGAGACTCAGACATGTGGGGAATGATTGGCAGGTCACACGCAGGCGTTAGTGTTGTTTAATGTCACCAGGGAGGGGACTTGGACTGGTTGGGAGACTGAAGCCTGAGATCGGTTACTTCTGTGTGGGATCCATCACTCTTCCTACAAAGAGGGGACTGTCAGTGGAGTGGTCAATGATGATGACGATGAATGGGTGGTTGAAGTGCACGTCAGGGGGCAAAGACATGGGTACTGCCTCCAACACTGTGGCCCCTGCAGCCTCTGTTCCCTTCTCATCGATGGTCAGCACCGCCTTGTGCACGGCCTAGAAGGGAGAGAGGCAGAGGCAGGCGCTGAGGCTGGGCAATCCCCACCCAGGCTGGAGCAAGGCCCGAGTGGGAGCTTTTACCCAGCACGGCCTCACAAGAGCCTTTCTCTTCCTGGTTGGTCCTGCACTGTCCGAAGTTTCTTCCCTGAATGGTAATGAGGCCTCTCCCATCTCAGCCCTTGCTGACCCAGCCAGCTTTCATGTCAGCCCCCATTGTAACCACCATCTGTCACATCCTGAGTACAACCTTCATATTCAGGAGAAGGTCATGTGGATGCCATGTCTCTCCACATGTCTCCCCATTCCAGGATATGGTACTGAGCTCCCGAAACAAGGACTAGGCTGGTGACACTCACTTTTCCAGACCCTATGAGTGCATAGCCCACACTGAACTATATCTGCTCCTTGTCACCTTTGATTTTCCTGAACCACTGGTGTCTTTGGCTGAATGCATTCACAACTGAGACCTAGTGGGTCACTGGTTCTGGAAGATTCTAGAACATTCTGCACAGTGACTGAGGTTAAATAAGCCCCTCTCTATGAATGTGGGTGAACTGAGGCCCAAGGACCTGAAGGTCCTAAGGAAAGATGAAATTGAACAGAGGTTCCCTACAAATCTGGCAGCACAAGAAGCCGCCTCCCAAGCTTTGTCCTCTTACTGTGCTCTGTCCCAGTGAATCCTGTGTTTCCTTTGGAGGAACTCAGCCTGGGCCTGGCACGTGTCCCTGCTGCCTTTCCTCATCCTCTTGCTGACTCGTGTCCTACACCCTGTTTTGCCCCGCGACACCTACAACATCACCTTTGTCGTGTGACCTTACCTTGGAGAGCTTCAGGGGAGCATCCTCCGTGACTCCTGAGAGGTTAGCAGCATTGCTGAAGACTTTGGTGATGCCCAAGTTGCCCAGGACTGTTTTCAGGTCATAGTTTCCAGAAATGGACAGTTTGGGGAGATGTATAGTGACGGACCTGGCATGTCAGAGGAAAAGTGGGGATGCTCAGCATTTCTCGGGTTCTGACAGCATTGCGTGTGTGACAGCGTTTCCTTTCTGCTTGTGTCTCCCATTAGTGTTCTGTCCCTGCACGGCAGGATGAGACACTGCCTCGATTTGTTGGAGTTTCATCTCCTCTGTCACAGGGGCAGAGAACATTAACATCATGGGAACCACTTGTCCTGGCAGCCTCTGCCTCCTCTGCAAATCTCCGGACAGCTGCAGGCAGGCATCATCCTGCCCTGCAGTTTGGTCACCCCTCTCCCCCAGCCAGGGGCCTTCTGTGGCCTGACTCCCAGGGGAGGATGGGTAACCGTGGCAGGGGCTTAGTGGCCCTTACTCAGAGCAGAGATAAAAGGAACTTCATAAGGCTGAAGGCCCAGCTGTGGTCTCCATAGGGAACAGATGGCCCTGTGCTGGTGAGCAGTTCCAGGAGAAGCCTGGACTTCTGATCTCAACCTGGACGCAGGTACCCTGAGAAGGTGATGGTGACACCATAGTGACACTTTCCAGCTCACTCTTACACTTGAGTACATTTCCATGTGTGTTTGCAGTGAACTCTGTGCAAAAGGGCCACACGATGCTGCCTCAGTTATGATGCATCAACCTGCTCCTGTCTGTGGTCCATCTGGGGACCCAATAACCCACACTGCAAGTGACAGAGAAGAGGAGCATTCTGCAAAGTGCCCTGCACTTTCCTGTGGTGGCCTTTCCCATCTAGGCCCTCTCCACCCAATGACAGTCCAGCCCAGATGCCACACTCAGCTGTCACCTCTGCCTGGTGCTTCTGAGTTCTGCCGTGACATGTGCTGCTACTGTCCCTGCCCCAGGCACTGGGCGTTGAGAAGAGATTATGTCCATTCTGGGGAAGGAAGTCCACCATCCCCCACCATCCCCCAGCAGGCCCCTGCTTCCTCACTCTGCCCATTGCCCCCATCAGAGCCTGGCCAGAGCCACTGGAACTAAGGGCTGCCATTGTTTTGAAGGCCCAAGGTCATTTACGGGAGCTGAGGCCCAAGGGATGTGGCCTGCTCCGGTCAGCGTGCCCTGGTTGGTTCTGAATTGGCTCAGGGGTTGCGTACTCTGCCCACCGGCTGGGGACTTACATTTTCTGTGTCTTGGAGAGGAATTTGTCAATGAGCTCCTCGGTGAGCGTTTCCTCCAGGTGCTGCAGTTTCCCCTTATCCGGCAGGAGGAAGAGGGCAGTGACGTTGCCCTGGTAGTCCATGAGCAGCACCCAGCTTTGGATCGTGGTGCAGTGAAACACTCGAAAGATGCCCAGGCGTTTCATCATGGGCACCTTCACGGTGGTCTCCTCATTCACGTGGAAGTTCTCTTCCGATGTGTACTCAGCCTCAAAGGGTTTCTCCCATTGGCCTGGAGAGAGGGGAGGGGAACAGAACCCAGGGGTGGGACTAAGAGTAAAGGAGCCTGGGCAGCCCTGGTGATATCCTGTGCTCTGAGCCCGGGCTTCATGGAGGGCGAGGAGGTCTGTAACTGGCCGTGCAGGCCACTATGGAGCAGAGAGAGGGCGATTCCAGGCCACGTGGACTGAGGGGCCATCCTGACTGCACCTAGCAAGCATTTTTATTTGGGTTATATATTTATTTAAGGTCGGATGGAAGACTACAGGTAATTTTGTTACCTCTCCTCTGCTGAACGAGCGTGCCTCACTGCCAGGCTGTCAGGGCGGGCAGGTGACTCTGGGACTCCTGAGCCTACCTTTCTCACTGGGACTGGAGGGGGACAGGAACTGCCCCAAGTCACAGCAGAGCTGGGAGCTCAGTTGTGCTGACTGTGGCCCGGGGACTCCACACTGCCAAACTGTGCCCAGGAATGTGGAGACGGAGGGGAGCCCCAGGCCTGGCCTTAACCCCCACCTCCCTCCTCTGGGCTCCTTTGCTGGGGCTATGGAAGCTGCTGTAGAACCCAGGTCCTTGGGGTCCTGACCCTCCCGTCACCCATGGGCAGGCTGGGGACTGCAGTTAGTAGGTTAGCTATAACAGTCACATGCAGGCCTGTGTGTTATGTGACCTGATTTCTCCTTTTGAGACCTGACAACAATGGCATCATTTTGTCCATGAAAAGATGGGATGATTCTACTTCAAAGAGGTTGATGTTGGCTTGTCCAAAGTCAAGACTAATGAGTGGTGGTAGTTGGATTTAAAACCAAGTTTTTTGTTTGTTTTTCTTTTCTTTTTTTTGATGTGGTAATGAGGATTGAACCCAGGGTCTTTGCAGCAAGTTACATCTCCAGCCTGTCTTTCTCTCTCTCTTTCTTTCATTCTTTCCTTCTTTCTCTCTTTCATTTTGAGACAGGGTCTCAAATTACCCAGGCTGGGCTCACACTTGCAATCCTCCTCCTTCAGCCTCCCATAGTACTGGGATTACATCCCTCTTAGGGATTCCAAAGAGGATTAGGATGATAAAGGCTTGCTGATCTTAGGCCAGTTGTGCAAACTTACCTCTAAAGAAAATGTAATTCACCAGGGCAAGAACTGTGTCTTCATCCAGGCCTTTCACCAAATCTACAATTTTCCCTTTGGTTCTCTCCTGTACATAGGTATTGATCAATTTCATAGCCTCTTCAGGGTTGCTGAAGTTGGCAGGGAAGGCTTCTGCATGGTAATGGTTCTTGGTTTCTTCTGAAAACTTAGCAGTGAGCTTCAGGTTGTGGTCCACAAAGAGGCCGTTGCCTGTGGTCAACTGGTGCTTGCTGTTGGGCGTGTTGAGGATGTGGAGGAGGTCCTTGAAGCCGTTGTGGATGTCATCCTCGGCTGTCTTTGTGAGGTTGAACTGCAGGCCCTGCAGGATCTGATCGTGAGTGTCCCCCTTGGCCCCCAGGGAAAGCATGGCCAAGGCTGAGGCGATGCTCACAGGGGAAAAGAAGATGTTGCTGGTGTTGGACTGCTGGGCCAGCACCCGGTACGTGCTGAAGGCAAACTCAGCCAGACTCGGGGCGATCTTGTGGCAGGAGAGGTGCTTCTTGTCATGGCTATGGGCATTTGTCACCTGTGTGTCCTCAGCCAGGCAGCCAAAGACCAGGCAGCAGAGGCCTGCCAGGAGCAAAAGGCCCCGAAAGACAGAGGATGGCATTGTCCTGCAACACACAGAAAGCACACCGAGCACTGTGTCAGGACCCACGACAGCTCCCACAGGCACCACACAGCAGTGGCCATGGTTTGTTAACCACCTGCCATGTGTCCGGTCTGCACCAAGCACTGCCCTACACCACCACCATTGAAAAAATCAGTAAATCAGCAAAAGGGTCACAACGCTATCCTTCTCTAAGTGCAGTCCTTAAACTACAACAACTCTTCGCTGCCTTGTAACACTCCTGTGGGGAGATGTCTCACCCAGAGGGAAGCCAAAGCCAGAGAGCTTACGGCTCACTTCCCAGGGGAGTGAGTGAGTGGCAGGATCAGTCACACAGCAGCCAGTCCGGGTCCTGAGCCCATGCATGCCTTTGACAGCTCTGCTTTCATCTGCGATGACCTTGAGGTAAAGGTGACACTTTCCCCATTGCACAAAAAAAGGAAACGAGGCACCAGAAAACTAGTGAACCTGATTGAGCACAATTACAAGGGCAATCTGGCAAAATCAGGGTTAAGAATCACTTTGAGCCAGCACAGCCGCTAGAGGGCGCCCACCCAGCACTGTGCAGCACATAGGGAACCCTGAGGCCTAGGGGAGCTGTGTAAAGTCCTGGTGTCTCCACTCAGCCCCACGAGGGCTCCCCAACGTGGAGGCTTTTCCTGAGGGCGCAGCATGAGGCTGGGCTGAGATCCCTGCAGTCAGTTCTCCACCATCTTGCCTCCTGTCATGGCCCAGTTCTGGGGAGGGTGGAGGGGCTCATTGCTCCTTTAAAATGAGAGTTGATGTGGGAAAGTGGGAGGTGGAAAACTATTCCTTAGCTTCAGACAGCCATGAGGGCCAGTGTAGGCTGTGTGAGCCAGGACAAGTCGTGGAAATGCTCCAGTCCTCACTCCGGTCCTCGTGTGTAAAGAGGGATTATAGGAATGTTCTGTGTTATAGGAAAGGTTGCAGAGAGGTCACTGCAACTCCAAACCTTCAGGTGACAGGCCGGTGAGAGCCATGGTTTCATGGCTCGGGGAGGCAGTAGGCAGTGGCAGGGCCCACGGCCAAACCAGCAAGGGCAAGCTGTATCTAGAGATGACAAGTCCTTGTCACCCACGGCAGCACAGAGCCTGCCCTCCCCACAGAGCTCCCTCTACTCCACATCTGTGCAGGCCACAAACTACTGGTCTGCAGCCTCCTGGGGACATCCTGCTTTCTTTACAGATGGGGAAACTGAGGTCTGAGTTGTAGCGAATGTGCCTGAGTTAGCTATCAGTCCCTTAACTAACCACTGTCTCAGCAGAGCACAGAAAGAATTTGAATTGAGGATTTGAAAATGTGAGGGGAAAATCTTGGAGGTAAGAGCCACTGAGTTTCACTTGCATCCTTGACCTTTGGAGAGTTTCTATCCAGTTAGACACCCCCCCCAGAAGAAGAATGAAGAAGAAGAAGAAGAAGAAGAAGAAGAAGAAGAAGAAGAAGAAGAAG